ATAATAATAATAATAATAATAATAATAATAATAATAATAATAATAATAATAATAATAATAATAATAATAATAATAATAATAATAATAATAATAATAATAATAATAATAATAATAATAATAATAATAATAATAATAATGTGTTAATATCGTAATTGATCCACTCGAAATCACGGTCAGCAAAATTTCCTGACAAAATTCTTGTGCAAACAAGCGCAAGTGATATTATTTCTGTTTGGCCGTACCTTCCTCTGTTAACAAGCTTTCAGTTTTATTTACTTGAACAAGTGTAAAATGAGAAGCAAACTAACTGACTGTTACCTACATAATATCCTGACTTTGTCAGTAATTCAGCTGCAGCCCGATTTGGAAATCATTTGAAAAATAAGCACTTGCTTCATGTCTCTCATTAGAGGTCACTGATTTTGCAAGCGTATGGCTGTACTGCTTTTTTTCTTGAATAGCTGTTTTAGGCATTGAACTCTACTGTACTATGCATGTGATTGTTTCTATGTTTTCATTGAACAATAAAACTTTGAAAATAAAACTGCATTAGTTAAGCAGATTACAGAGTAATGTTTTCTTTTTATGAATTCATTTTTAAATATTACCAACTCATAAATGATGGAAACCATGGAAACTTTAATTTAAATATAATATAGTTTGGTATAATGTAGGGCTGCAACTAACGATTATTTTGATAATCGGTTAGTTGACCGATTATTTTTCCGATTAGTCGATTAATCTCATTTCTTTCTTTTTTTGACAAAAAACACTTCCACATTCTGCCCAATGTCCTTTAAACAAACGTGTCAACTGAATGCTATGAAAATAGTGCTTAACAATTAGACACACATCATAATAAAGATAAAACACAAATATGAGAATCGTTGTCGATTATTTTCATTATCGACAATAATCGATTTTATCGATTAGTTGTTGCAGCCCTAGTATAATCCAATTCTTATTTTCGGTCCACAGCCCCGCAGTCAAGTTTGATTTTTGGCCCTTCATAAGAAAAAGTTTGGGCACCTCTGGTTTAGACCCTGATGAGGTGCTAAGCACTTTTCCACGTCAACGTTTTTATAAAATGTAGGTCTGAAACTAAAAATGAGCATTATATGTTGACAAGGCTGTCTGTATATAACTGGCATGAGGATGTGCAATCACTTCTGTTAGTCTGCACACTGGACAGTTATGAGATGATTCCGATATTCTTAAAAATCACCAAATATCATATTGGCTTGGCCCACACATTGGTAACAAAGTGTGATAACTAAAAGTGCAAAATGCAGCAGCTGCTGGACAGACGCAAAACGTGCCTTGGACAGAAATATTGTAGAAATGCTTAATTTATTTTCTGTCTGTAATAGCAGATTAAATCCCATGCAAAGCAAATCTTCTGCAGGGATCCAGTGTACTGGGGACATTCCTCTGGTGTCAGACGAGGCCTGAGCCGAGCGTATAGCATGACATCTCTGCACGTCTGGTGTTTTCAGACCTGTGCTGTGCGCAGCAAATGATACATGACTGCTACTGGCACAGAAACATTCATCAACCCCAAAAACCCACGTGACATCAAAACTGACAGCAAGTGCTGTGTCGGGTTAGTGACCAGATGGAAATACCATGGTACACTGATACACAGGTGATAGGGCTGTGGGGTTGCCTGATATCAAAACACCTAATCCCCTATTCAGAGCTCCACACTTGGAGCAATACAGAAATATCTGCTAAGTGTGTTACTTATTTTCTCAACCTGGCAACTGTGCACAAGCTCAGCCTCCACAGTGGATTTATTTCTGAAAAATAAAAAAAATATTTCAAGTCTGTGTTCATTTACGGGCCAGAGAGAGAGATGTATGAATTACCTCTATCTTTGCTGCGTTTCTCTATTAGCAGTGAGGCTTCAAACGCAGTACAAGTCTGTGTTTGCGCACAGTGCGATCTGTGTGAGTGACTGAATGTGTGCGCGTGAGCTACAGCGATGACAGCACATTACTTTACAACGCTTCTCCTTTTTTGGCGTGTTTGTTTGTGCGTGTTTTTTGCTCATTAGCAATAATGCATTATGGTCAGGGAAGCCTGAAGTGCAAAACAAGACTCATTTTGCCAGGTTTCCACACATCAAATAAGCACGCACTTTCTGTTTCTATATGCAATAAATGATAAATGCCACGCATGTCTGTGAGAGACAGCGCGCCTGTATGCAAATAAAGCCATCTGAAACATGTGCATGCCATCAGCTCGATCTGAAAGTCGGAAAACACAATAAACCCCGTTTATCATAGTGGATATTGACTTGCGCTGCTGATCCGAGAACAGCGCGAGCTAAAAAAAAAAAACAACAAAAAAAAGGTTACTGTATATGGACGTGATTATTTTTATCTGCGTGGCATTTCTACGACACTCGCACGTCCAGAAAGATGGAAGTACCGCGGTATTTTTGTGGAATGGGAACAATTCCACTCATGAGCAGCAATGCAGTGGGGTTCAAAACAGCAGGGAAATATAGATGGGAGTCAAAGCCCTGATCGAGGCCCAGTGCAGACAGTGTTAACACACGCTGCCGCACTGATCGTTCAAACCAGTTCTGACATCAATAACTATATTCAGCAGGAGTGTTTTACATAACGTCTGCGGGCACTGAAATGCTGAGTCGGCCGTGAGACATGAAGCCCTTGTGGGCTGAGTTTCGTGCCCGGCCTTCATTCATCACAGCGGGAGCGCGTCGCTGCTGCGTGGCCTACACCCGCTCGATCTCCCGCAAACCTGCGCTCACACGCACACACCCGCAGCCTGCCGCCATACACGCTCAGACGCACGCTTCGCCGCTCCTCTCATGCGGGCTTCCTTACCCTCTTCCCCCGCCGAAGCTCCCGTAAGCCCGATCCCGGTCATCGTAGTTATCGTAATCCGCCATTGACGAAGATGCTGTCCTGAGAAAGCAACAGTCTGAGGCTGAAGGACCCCAACATATACGGCTGCGAGCTTTAGCTGTCCTCTGCGTGCCTGAGACGTGCCATTCGGGGGTTCATAAAATACATTTGAGTAATGATAGCGTAAACAGGTCTAAAATATCAGAATATGCCGTATGTGTATTCGTTTTGTTATCTAGATCCAAATAAACATTTTTAATGTGAACAATAGACGGTTTTTCAATCGGGCAACAGCGAATAGACTCGACATGCGATCTTTAATGTGTTACTAGCTAAATCTTTTGGTGGAACATATGATAGGTGGGGATTCTTTCTGATTCAGAGTTTAGAATCTTTTAAAGGGGTCATATGACGTTGCTAAAAAAGAACATTATTTTGTGTATTTGGTGTAATGAAATGTGTTTATGCGGTTTAAAGTAAAAAAAAACACATTATTTTCCACATACTGTACATTATTGTTGCTCCTCTATGCCCCGCCTTTTTGAAACGCGTCGATTTTTACAAAGCTCATCGTTTGTTGCATCCAGTGGGGACATAATTACGGATTATAATGACTTATACTGTCTTTTTACGCTTTGCTTTGCGTTGCATCGCGCCGCGTAAACATAAAACTCTGTCTGTATTTGTGATCGGAGAAACGACAAACAACAAGCGCTACTCTACACTGCTCAAAACTCGCGTTTGAATCATCAGTGGCAAATTCTTTAAATATGAAAACGTACTTTAAAACGTGACAAATAAAATTATTTGTCAGCATCATAGACTGTATAGGGTCAGCATGCGCGCCGAAGGGGAAACAGGGGAACTGAATTCACCGGAACACAGGCATTGTAGTCTACTCTCACAGGAAACAGTCCTCGTCCTCCGTAAAATG